AGAAGGTTTTATGTCATATGTGGGTGACAGTTTCAATAAATCTGACTAGAATAGATGCCGTTCCTCACGTTTCTTCCATCTACACGTATGGACAAAATTGTTGGTACCCCTCAGTTAATGAAAGACAAACCCACAACGGTCACAGAAATATCTTGAAGCTGAGAAAAGTAATAACAAATAAAAATTCTATGAAAATGAACCAATGAAAAATCAGACGTTGCTTTCAGAGGAAACACTGGACTGTTCTGAAGTGGCTTCTATGAGCCCTGATCTAGATCCTATTGAAAATCTGTGGAAGGAGCTGAAACATGGCGTCTGGAGAAGACAGCCTTCAGACCTGAGACACCTGGAGCAGTCTGCTCATGAGGAGTGGACCAGAACACCTGCTGAGAGGAGCACAAGTCTCACTGACAGCTACAGAAACCGTCTGATTGCAGCGATCGCCTCAAAAGGTTGAGCAACAACATAACCATCATTTTAGTCCAGGCCGGCTTCATGAGTTTATTTTTTAAATAGTTCAGTTGAACCACGGTTCAAAAGCAACGTCGGATTTCCATTGGTTAATTTTCATAGAATTTTTATTTATGATTACTTTTGTCAGATTCAAGTTATTTCTGGGACCATTGTGGGTTTTTCTTTCATTAACCGACGGGTACCAACTATTTGGTCCACGTGTGAACACAATACTACGTCGGCCGACAGGACAAACAACATGCATAAACACAAACGAGCTGCATATACATGAATGCGTTGCATAAACAGAAACGCTTTGCAAAAAGAAAACACAGCATATCCACTCTCGCACGGAAGTGCCCCAGGCCTCTAGGGGCAGTAGTGAGCTTTTCACCTGAGAGGCAGACAACGGTGAGCGAGACAAGTAACATTAGTTGAGGGGAAAGCCGACCCAGTCTCACGGCAATTTGTGAAATAGTCACGAAACCTAATGTTGTTAATGTTATTATTCTTATCATTATTATTATTATTATTGTTATTATTGTTATTGTTATTGTTTGCCCGACTTCTTCATGTTCCCCAGCACAGATTTCAAATCCAATACATGTCAACTGGAATTATCTATCGTGTCTGGGACACGTTTTTCCCATCAGACAGCACATATGCTGGGATGTTTCTGTCGTTCTTGTCTTCCAACAGTCAGCATTAACCAGTTTTCCTGTTCTGGCCCGTCCACACTAATAACTACAGAGATCACTGTACAGATGTGTGCGTTCACACTGACCAGCGCTAGTGTCGTCTGAAAAGAAGGACACATGCAGGAAAACGGCGACTGGAAGATGTACTGTGATTGTACAGAGTGTAAAGTGTAAAAGAGTACATTGTATTATGGCATTTTTGGTGTTTTTATTACACCGGCAGTGTTTGGGGGAAATCTGCGCTCGTTGCTAAGGCAACCCTGGTAGCGTCGGCATGCAGCCTCGCCGTAGACCCAGAAGAGATCCGTCCTACAGGATCTGTAATGTTTTTGTGTGTACAGTATTATTATTGTTTCGTGTCACAGGACACAAAAAAACAACAACAACAATAATATTAATCATAATCATAATAACAATAACATTAAGTTTTGTGACTATTTCACAAGTTGCCGTGAGACTGGGTCGGCTTTTCCCTCAACTACTGTTACTTGTCTCGCTCACCGTTGTCTGCCTCTCAGGTGAAAAGCTCACTACTGCCCCTAGAGGCCTGGGGCACTTCCGCTGTGAGAGTGGATATGCAGCGTTTCTTTTGCAGCCGTTTCTGTTTATGCAACGCATTCATGTATATGCAGCTCGTTTGTGTATATGCACATCGTTTGCCCTCGTCAGCCACCGCACAATACCCCTACTTTATAAGTGTAAAGTCATGACTGTACCTCGTCTTCACAGTAGCTCCTCCTGACAGACGCTTCGCTGCGTGACGACCGTCTTAAACTGCTCTTCTCCTCCACTGAGCTTTTCTTACTCTGCTGGAGCACTTTGGCCTTTTCCACTAACTTCTTCGCCTGCTTCCTTTTCTTAGACTCCCTTGGTGTCTGAAAAGAGATAGCAGATTTATGGCAGCGTCAAAGTACTGTATGTCAATCTTGATCCCTTTAAAAAAAAAAACAAACAGTAGACCAATTCATTAAATCTCGAATAGGAAAAAAAAACAACGTACTTTCGTAGTGTTTATGCCACTTCCTCCTTCGGTCTTAGACAATGAAGCATTTTTATGGACTCTAGTAAATTTAATCCTTACAAGAAGAGAGAAAGAACAATTAGTACATTATTAAAACATAGAACATTTAAAAGACATCAAAAATGAATAGCTTAAAATGCCTTTCATAGAGTAGAAGGTACAAGAGTAATGTATGCATGTGTCACCTGATTGGACTTTGATTTGCATCAGGTGGACACACCATCTCTGCTACAAAGACACCACGCTTGGACTTGCGTGTCTCTGGAGTGGACGTCTTTGCAGGGCTGTTCGGAGGCAAAGCAGCATCTACAGCATCCTTTGGCTCTTTCTGCTTCCTGGTTGTTCTGACCGGAGGTGTTGTGACGGTTTCAGGAGCTGGTTGGACGGTGGCCTGTCGCCTGGACCTCCTCACTGCTGGAACGGAGGGAGCCGAGGCGACGGGAGCCTCCTCTGTCTTGTCCTCGACCTCAACAGTTGTCGTCACGTGTTCTTCCACAGCAGCAACAGCAGAGATGGACGTTGCCTCCTTTTCCTCTTCAGCTTTGTTTCTGCCTCGTCTTGCTGGTTTCTTTTTAGCTGCGTTCTTTCCCTGGTTGCCTTGCTCAACACAGAGTGGAACTACATCATCTTCAGCAACTTTGTCTGCAGCATCCAAAACATTCTCTTCGGGTTGCTTCTGCTTGCCTTGGCTCTTGACCGGTTTGGTTTTGGACCCGTCCAGGCTCGGCTGTTTGAAGGCAGCCATGAACTGCTTCCTCTCTGCCTCGCTGCACTTGGGAGTGGATTCGCTCTCAAGCACCGCCAGTTCAAGATCCTCCTCTTGAAGAACCACATTGGATTTTCGTTTGACAGTCAGAGAAGGAAGTTTTGGTCCATGCTCTGGAGGAGGAGACGAGACAACCTCTGCAGGACTGCTGACCCCTTTTCTTCGGCTAAAGATAGAAGCTAACTTTCCCACTGCCTTGGCTGCTTCTTGTTTGGGTGAAACTGCGTGAACTTCAGCCTGGATGGTGACAGTTCGAGGGGAGACCTGGACAGATGGCTCCCCAGAATCTGTATTTTCTTGGGCTTTAGGAATGTCCAGTTGGTCGGAGTCCATTTCCTCTGCCTTAGCTGTCTTGTTACTTTGATCTTCTTTGCCCTGTTCATCTTTTATGTCCTCTTCAGCCTCATCCTGACTCTGACTCCGCACAAAATCCTCAAAGGAGATTCTGACGGTGCTGTTGTTTAACTGAGAGTCCTCATCCAGATTGACCTCCATGCTAACATCACACAAGGAGCTCTCTGCTTCTTTCTCCTCCGTCTCTGAATGCTTTGCCTCCTGTTGCTGCTGCTGCCTCTTCCTGCCACTTCGTGCAGCAGTTTTGACCGGTTTTGCTTCATCTCTTGAGGATGCAACAGGAGATAACTCAGTGGTGTTCAGTAATGGTTTAGGTTCAACTTTGTTCCCACATTTGGGATCATCTTCAAGATGCTCAACACTTTCAGTCCACTCATCGCTCTTTGATATTCCTTCAGCGACACAGACGTCAGCACTAAGCTCGGCCAGCAGAGCTGCTGTGTCGCTGCCAAGGATGCTGCTGACTGCTTCTGCCGCTGAGTCTTTGCTTTCGTGTTGTTCTTCTACAATCACGCAGCCGTCCTCCTCAGTGGGACTAACAGTTGCAGCCGCCACAAGTTTCCTTGCAGCTTTGCTCGGCTTTCTACCCCGTTTCTGAGATGGCTGTTTCCCCACCTCTGGGCCGGTGTGCTTTTCTGCAGAGTGAGACCTCTGACAGTTTTCTTTAGATTGTTCTGCTGAGCTGGACTTTTCCTTGGAGGACGGCACCTTCCGGCTAAAGTAGTCCATAATGTTGCTAGAGCGAGGAGGAGAAAAGGGTTTTTCCATCGGCTTGACCACAGGGGAGAAATAGTTTGTGATTGTCTTGACAACAGGACTTCCTCCATCTTTGCGAGATTTCTTGCAAGGCTGCTTAAAAGAGTGACAAAGTTGATCAAATATGAGAATGTGTGAGAATTAGGGCTGCACAAGATATCGTTTCAGCATTAACATCGTAATGTTTAACTTAAAGAAATACTTAAATAATTGAAGAAAGTTATTCTAAAAAAATGTATTTACACCCAATGTTTGTTAACGTGTAAGCTCCACATGTGCACAGCAACATGAGCAAGGAACATTGGAAAAACACTAAAAATGGGACTGCAACAAAAACAGGAAGTACACAAATGATTTGTTTGACCCTTTAAATCAGCACCACAAATCTCTGAAAGACTAACACACAGCTAGACTGTCATCCAAAGCAAAAAAAAAAAACAACAACATCAGCATCATAAAAATACCTGAGTGTCAAAGTCCTCAATGACAGAAGCCATCGCCACAACACCAGCCATAGCTGAAGAGACCTGGAGCAGAAGAACACATCGTTATGTCCTACACAGCCGTAAACCACTGCTTCACAGATTCAGATGAACTGGTAACTAGGGTCCTGGCCTTCTTTGTTCCTCACCTTGCTTAGTATTAATCCCAATACAATGTAATCTACCTTCTGTTAATTTACTCACCTACAGGGTGTGGAAATACCCACAGCTGTGCACCGACTACCTCCTGCACCTTTACTGAAACTACTCATGTTTAAATATGTTTACATACAACTTTCAGCCATTACATGTCTGTATATGTTCAGCTAGGTGCAGTATTAAGGAGTGCAAAATGAGCTACGCTGCTGTTGTAGAGTTGGTAATACAACCATAAGCTGTTCTCACACATGTGCTTTTTAAAATGAGGTCTGATTGTGTAGAAAGCTCTGACAGGATTGTTGTACACTGTTTAATGACAACAAAGGGATTATAATCTGTTCTGTTCTCGGCCATCGACATGTACAAGTCGTGCTCTTCCTGCAGGAATCAGCTGAACCATCAGACAATCACATCTAAACCACGACATCATTTGCAGTATTTCTTATTTGTATTTCTGTTCCAGCCTCGGTTCACCCAGACTGTTCTACTGAAGGACTCGTTGCTCTCCTACTGTATTTCCTGTATTTCCCAGCTGTGAACAGCCTCCCGGTCCAGTACAGTAGACATGCAGAGTTCTGGTGGAGAAACTCGGTTCAGAAACAAACGGCCCTCTGACACCAGCACCGACACCGAGCTGCTCCTGGTGACACCGGCCCGACACGGAAACCCACCACAGGGCTGAGGACACTTACCGACGGAGCTACTTCACTCTTCTTGCCGTTTCTTATTCCTTCCTACGTGTTTGCGAGAGAAGAACAGCGGAGAGCTCATCGTGAGGCGGACAGCTGTTGTCGCCGGAGAGTAGCCCAGCAGCGAGCGGCTCCAGGCGGCTCCGAACACGGTCCGCGGCAGACGCGGGGACACGGACTCAACGCTCGGAACCGATATTTCTTAAACCGCTTCCACCAGAAACTCCGAATACATGCTGTTCTGATGTATGCTGCTCTTTCAAAAACGCGCCAGACTGGTCGAGGACGAAGAGCGCCAAATATACGTGACCTTTGGCGTGACGCAGTTCCACCAATCACAGCAAAGAAAACACTTTCGCCTTCCTGTGACACACTCTGCCCATAACAAAGATGGCGCCTGGCGTCACGTTTAATGGAGAGGAAATATTCACAGCGACCTCTACAGGCTGGATGCAGAAAGTTCTCCCTCGTCCAAATACTGAAGAGGGGAATCACAAAAAGCTAAAATGTAAATTACATTAAAAGTAATACATATATTTGGAATTGTCTTCAGTAATATGCAAATTTAACGTAAGTGAAGTCTTCAAATGTCTTGTTTTGTCCGACCGACAGTCCAAAACCTACTCTTGCACAGATATAAAACAGAAATTCAGTAAATCTATTTGGCATATTTGCTTTAAAAAATAATTTACAATATCATTGACGTCACATTACTTTAAACTGCCAGATAATTTATGAGATTGGTCCTATGATATGTGGGCACTTCATATTTTACCATCATATCAGTATTATATAGAATAGAAAAAGTAGGTATATTTGAGCAGTGCATTTACAGAATCAAATCAAAGACATTCTTAAAGTGAATAAACTAACACCAGTCTGACAAATATTTCTTTTACTGCACATAAAAGCAATTTGGAAAAGGATGAACCGTTTTTGCAAATAAACGCCTAATTTATTCTCTCTGTAGTTATGAGAACACACGGTAACTACAGGCAGCTTGTCTGAAAAAGTGCTGCCTCATTGTTTTGTCAGACTCTATAAAATGTACAATTAGAAGATGGTTTAAGTGACTGACAGTAGAAGTCCATGTAGTAAAGGAAATGTCTTGAGATGGCAAATGCTGTGTATTAATTAAAATGAACCCCAACTTTAACAGCTATTAGCCAGCTTCAGCCATGCTTTCTGTGGCATCTAATATATTGAATATAATATCACTTTCTGTGGGGGAGTTGTTCCTCTCCACTGCCACACATATACTTGATTGTAGGACATCATTGGATTTATTGGATTTTCAGTGACTAGCTTTGTAGGGTCTTTGCCTTAATATGTAATCTGGTCGGGCAAATTTAGTTTTAATCTGAAAATTATATAAGTAAGGTAAATTTATACTATTAACGATATTTGTAGGGTCTTGACCCAAATATTTTACTTAGTCAGGTGTAACATCCATCCATCCATTTTCCATACACCGCTTAATCCTCATTAGGGTCGCGGGGGGGCTGGAGCCTATCCCAGCCGACTTAGGGCGAAGGCAGATTCACCTGGACAGGTTGCCAGTCCATCGCAGGGCTACACTTAGAGACAGACAACCAAGCACACTCACANCATGACAACATGTATATCTTTATGAAGGAGCAGCGTACCCTCTGGAGGTTGCGTCGTGTGTGTGACTGGTTGGAAGGTGGAACAGGAGCGCGAGTACGCCTCCTTCGTGGCAGCTGTCTTGGCCATCTGTTTTTTCAAGGACTCAGGCAAACCGCTCTTCAAGAATTCCCTGCGTGCCCTGAACTGCTCATCATCCTGGGAGTTTTCAGAGCCCTCGTGGCTGCTCTCGTCAAAGATGGAAATCACCGCAGACGCCTTCCGAGCAGCCTTCTCTTGGCCCTGCGAGGCCACTTTGGAGCCTGCCGTGAACGAAACACAACACGGTCAGATGATGTTACAACAAAATGACAAACAGTTCAGGTGCAGTGTGAAAGACTACCTGGGACAGCCTTGGACTCTTTAGCAGCGAGCGTGGCCTTGCCCAGAACATCATTAAGGCTGCGCAAAGGCCTCTGGGTTGGATTCTCTGGACGAGCGTCTGTCTGGTCCTCTTCCACACAGATGACAGAATCCTGACAAGACAAACCACACAACAGAGACTTACAACCAGACTCAAAACCAAATGAAAAGAGTGAATGCACATGTGTTTGTCCTGTAGTCCCCAATGATACGTAATGTAGGTATTTTAAATCAGTAATGGGCAGTACTCTGCAGGGAAGAAGATAAGCAGTATTTATGTCCAGTGCATCAGGATGTTTAAACCTGATCAATCTGCATACCACACAAGAGCCAAATCCCAAACAATCCGTGAACCGATCCCTGTGATCACTATATTACTTTTGTGTATCTTTACACAAATCCAGACCTCAAACTGGCTTCAACTTAAAAAGTCTACTTCCAGTTCCAAACAAGAATGAACAATCTACTGCCAGACACTTAAGGATGAACTGAGTCTACTTGTCTCACTGAAGACAAAATGCTGAGACTTTAATTTGACATCATGTTTTAATGTATTTGTGTACAAGTACTGAGAAGGTTTTATGTCATATGTGGGTGACAGTTTCAATAAATCTGACTA